TCTCCCCCTCCGATTTCCCCCCCTTCATTTTTCCCTTCATACTTTCTTCTTTTTTCTTTTTTAACATATAATGTATTATTTGTTTCAGAGGTACAGTTCTGTGATTCATCAGTATTACATAATTCACAATGCTCACCATAGCACGTACCCTCCCCAAGGTCTATCACCACCAATACATTCTTTAACCATAGGAGAAAGCTGACCTCTCAAAAGAGTAAATTTATTTAAGTGTTTGTGATTCATAACAATTCCTTTTATGGAAATCTAAATGGGAAAAAATTCCTTATTCAGAGGGAATGAGAAACAGGGATTGAATGAAATGTGATAAATAGAAATTCTCCCTTCTGTTAAATTTTATTATATGCAGCAGACTCAAGTCAACACAACTGAAAAGCAAAGAAACTTAAGTTCAGGATGTCACAGTGGCTCTTTTAAAGGTCAGTTGGCCTTGGCTACTCTAGTACTGAATGAGTGACGTTCTGGATGAGGCTTCTGCAGCCAGGGGGTTGGGCAGCAGCCAGCTAGTTCCACAGCTTGAGCCAAGGCATTAATTCCTATGGTTTGTGGACCACAGCAGGGTTAAATGCTGCCTCCCTGTGTCTTGGAGATATCCGAATGTGAATCAAAATTTCATCCTCTGTTCTCTCCCATTTGGCTGCACAACCAGCAGAGGGAGAGCAACAGGGGTACCCCAGGGGTTCTCGTCCTGTAAACCTGTCCCAGAGGTAGGCCCTGGGAGACACACTGGGCACTAGAAGGCACAGATGGACCCAAACCTGCTCTTCAGTGTCATTAACCACTTCAAGGCTTTACAAATCTCATGGAAGTTCAAGTTCAGTGTGAAATTTCAATCTGACCTTTGCAATTTCTAGGTGTGTGTTTTATGAGGAAACTTACTGCACAAATTGTTTTGTTTTTTCAGCTTGAAATGTATTTGCATTCATGGTTTTTGTATAGCAGCCAATCCTGCTTCAGGTCAACATCTAAAGAGGATGCATTATGAAACTCCAGTGTTTGTCAATAACTGGGGAGAAAATCACTAGGTTAATTTTTTCATCCAGTTGGCTTTGCTATACATAGTATGGGTGTGTGTGTGTGTGTGTGTGTGTGTGTGTTATTAAAAAATTTCCTGTTGAACAATTTTTATCTGTATATCTCACTATATATATATATATACATATATATATAGTACAAATATAAATACAAACACACATATTACTTTCTTATTTTAACAGGTAGATCTTACTAGATTTATTTGTATCTATTACTTATTATTTATTTACATCTCTTACTATTTAATAGATGTATCTATTGTTTCTTATTTTCATAGATGTGTCTTACTATCATTAAATAGCTTACTTTGCTAATAAAAATTGGTAACACCTACTGTTCCAAGTGCTATATATATGCTTATATATATATGCTATATATAACTTATTCAGATGGTATGGTATTATTAGTACCTCCTATTTTATAGATGAAGAAATTGAGGCGCAGAGATCATAAATAGTATACACACTGCATTGGGATCATAAAAATTAAAATAAGTAGACCAGCTGTCACATGTATTTTGCCTGGTTTCAGTGTATTAAATGTCTATCTCATTGATTTCAAGAAATGTGTCAGACTTTAGAAACTTTTTTACTAAGAAGACGGAATTGGAAAAGAAAAAAAATAAAAGAAGATTAAAAACACTGAGCAAAATAAAACATATGAATTTGTCATAGAGGCAAAAAAGAAAATGTACAATATTTATCTGAGGCATTTTTGAACATGTTCACTCATTGTTTGACTTAAGCAAATCTACTATTCATTTTAAGAGATAACTAATTCATGCTTTAATACAATTCTATGTTTCATTCAAAAATCTGAAGATGACTTCAGTTCCAGATGGACACAGGAAAGCACACATTATCTTTTTTACCCTTTCTCAACACACAAAGCTACCATTCAATATCCTAGGCTTAGATTTAGACAGTAACAGGATGTAAATTTATGTGTCTTAACTTCACCTGCTGAGAAGTTTGCAGGGAAGAGCTAACAATCTGATAGACATTCCTGTCCTCAACCTGATTCTGTGTTGTATCATTATTGCATATATTGACCGTATTTCCTAGGGTTCTTGTGAGAATTAAATGGAATAATATATTAAAGAATTTGACGTATTTGCTTAATAAATGTTCAGTAAATGGTAGTTGTTTTTCATTACCTGAGTTCCTCCAATAATCACCCTCTTGGAAAAAGAGCAGAGTATCCAAGGTTGGGGTCTAGATATGATTGGAAAACTGAAGACAAATTTTAAGGAAGAACCATGAAGCGCATGAAAAAGAATAACACAGGAAGGTCTCTGATATCATGAGTTAGATAACTCAAAATAAGGGCTAAATTGTAAGACAAGAATGCTGTTTCTGGGTAAATGTGGTAACAGCTTCTTAAACCAGACCTTAAGAGAATTCTATAGAAACTGAAGTCTGACCTGTAAACTCTTGGGGCCAAGGCAATTCTACGGTGGTGCCCCTTTGGAAAGAGTGGGACACAGAAGAGAGGAGCTGCTTGCAAATGGTGAAAGGAAGATGGGCTCTATTGGCTCAGAAAGCAGAGCATCAGGCCATCGAGTGGAGGTGAGTGGCAGCAATGGAGCAGGGACCTGCCAGGGCTGCAGGTTGAGCAGAAACCCCGAGACAGGCAGCAGCCGG